CAGAATTGTTACTCGCACAGACACAGAATTGTTACTCAGGGACACAGAATTGTTACTGAGGGCCACAGAACTGTTACTTAGGGCCACATAATTGTTACTCGCACAGACACAGAATTGTTACTGAGGGCCACAGAACTGTTACTGAGGGCCACAGAACCGTTACTTAGGGCCACATAAACGTTAATCAGGGACACAGAATTGTTACTGAGGGCCACAGAACCGTTACTTGGGGCCACAGAAACGTTAATCAGGGACACAGAATTGTTACTGAGGGCCACAGAACCGTTACTTGGGGCCACAGAAACGTTAATCAGGGACACAGAATTGTTACTGAGGGCCACAGAACTGTTACTTAGGGCCACAGAATTGTTACTCACACAGACACAGAATTGTTACTCAGGGACACAGAACTGTTACTGAGGGCCACAGAACTGTTACTTAGGCCACATAAACGTTAATCAGGGACACAGAATTGTTACTGAGGGCCACAGAACCGTTACTTGGGCCACAGAAACGTAATCAGGGACACAGAAAATTGTTACTGAGGGCCACAGAACCGTTACTTGGGGCCACAGAAACGTTAATCAGGGACACAGAATTGTTACTGAGGGCCACAGAACTGTTACTTAGGGCCACAGAATTGTTACTCGCACAGACACAGAATTGTTACTCAGGGACACAGAAACTGTTACTGAGGGCCACAGAACTGTTACTTAGGGCCACAGAATTGTTACTCGCACAGACACAGAATTGTTACTCGCACAGACACAGAATTTGTTACTCTGAGGGACACAGAATTGGTTACTGAGGGCCACAGAATTGTTACTTAGGGCCACATAAACGTTAATCAGGGACACAGAATTGTTACTGAGGGCCACAGAACCGTTACTTGGGGCCACAGAAACGTTAATCAGGGACACAGAATTGTTACTGAGGGCCACAGAACCGTTACTTGGGGCCACAGAAACGTTAATCAGGGACACAGAATTGTTACTGAGGGCCACAGAACTGTTACTTAGGGCCACATTGTACTCTGTTACACAGAATGGTTACTCAGGACACAGAACTGTTACTTAGGGCCACAGAATTGTTACTCGCACAGACACAGAATTGTTACTGAGGGCCACAGAACTGTTACTTGGGGCCACAGAAACGTTAATCAGGGACACAGAATTGTTACTGAGGGCCACAGAACTGTTTACTTAGGGCCACAGAATTGTTACTCGCACAGACACAGAATTGTTACTTACGCACAGACACAGAATGGTTACTGAGGGCCACAGAACTTGTTACTTTAGGCCACAGAATTGTTACTCGGGACAGACACAGAATTGTTACTCAGGGACACATAATTGTTACTCAGGGACACATAATCGTTATTAATTAAAGAGTATGTCGGCAGACAACATGCAGAGGAGTGGCAGAGGAGGCAATGTTTTAGGAGCGAGCAGACTGGCAGCAGAGGAAGGGTCGAGGCAGCAGTATTCGCAGCCAGAGGCCAGTGCTCCCGGTGTCATCCAGCGGTCGTGTCTCCACCGACAACCCTGCCGTCATTGATTGGTTGGCTCGGTCGTCTTCCTGCTTCCCAGGTCACCTCTGACACCTACAGCCAACTCGGTGGGTACGTCAGACACAACCGTTAGTTGGCATGGCCCGGGACAAGCCCACTGAATCCACGTGTCCTCTACCTGCCCCTGTCCTTTGCTGTTCCCTCACCAAGCGAAGTATCGCATGCTGTGGGCTCAGCCCCACTGTACATGAGGAAGAGCTAACTCAGAGGGCGGTCAGAACGGGGGGAGACATCGGCCTTTTCAGCAGCCAGGCGAAGAAGTACTGGCGAGGAGAGTGGCTCGGTACCGGTCTAGAGACAGGTCTGTCTCCTGACCCACACGCACCGAGTTGGGGCTAGTAGTGAGGCGGAGACCGTACTTGATGATGAGAGTGGGTTGATCGCACTTGCTACCCCTCGTCGTCATCAGGCAATTTCTTCCGCATCATCAGGAGAAGAGGTGCCAGCTTGGCAGCGAGCGAAACAGTCGGTGGGTTGCCCAGGAAGGCAGCAGGGTCGCATCAGTGTCAGTGGAGCCAAACGTCCCACGGAGTAGAGCACCAGCTCCACTGCAGCCTACCACCACGGCCAGTAGTGGTGCCGGTGCGCACGGAGGAAGTAGCAGTCAGCCAGTGAGGAGTAGCGGGGGCAAAGTTTCCTACTCTGCGGTGTGGCAATTTTTCGTCAAGCAGCCGCCCGAGGAAGTAAACGTAGCCGTATGTCGACTATGTGGCCAGAAATGCAAGCGTGGCCAGGGGGCCCATGTTGGGACTACAGCGTTGCGTCAGCATATGCAGCGTCACCATTCGGTGGCCTGGGAAAAACCGTGATAAAGATACGGCGGTTCTGCCTGCCCCAGCCCCCGCTCCCATCACCCGCTCCGTTACTTGCTCCGTCACCCGACGGTCGTCAATCGCCCTCTATCAGCCAGTCAAGGCTCCAACACCTCTGCTGAGGGGAGTTGTCGCTCGTTGGCATCTTCCGCTCGTTCAGATGCTCCTTCTCCTGCTACTCCTCTTCTCGGATTCCGTCAGCAGTCTTTCTTGGAATCCGTCCAAGAGGACAACAGTTTGCGAGCACGCACCCGGACAGTGCAAAAGCTGAACGTCCTCCTGTCCAAGGCTTGCTGGTGCTGCAGTCCCTCCCTTTCCAACTGGTGGACTCAGCACCTTTCCGAAAATGATGGCTTGTGCCGCCCGCGGTGGAGAGTGCCAAGCCGTCATTTCTCTTGCCCAAAAAGGCAGTGCCAGCCCTGCATTCACATGTAGAAGAGATGGTGGGCCAGTCTTTGAGCATGTCGGTTTCTGCCAAAGTGCACGGCAGCAGTCGCCGACGTGTGGAGCTGTAACTACGGTCAGGGACAGTACATGTTCATTTACGGCCCACTGGGTGAACGTGGTGCCTCGCACAGCCGCGCACCAGCAACTTGACAGGTCACCTACGCTTGCTCCGCGTTTGCACGTCCTTGGTCCAGCAAAACATGTCCGCCTCTACCACCTCTTCTTCCGCCGTGTCCTCATGGGCCCCGCCACCCCCAAGTCCCATGCTGCTGTCCCATTAACCGCATATCACATGTGCAGGGCGCAACGGTGTCACGCTGTGCTTGCACCTGGTATGCCTTGGCGAACGTAGTCACACAGGGGAGGAACTTCTGAGTGTAATGAACAGAGAAATCGACAGATGGCTGTCTCCTGCGCAAACTGAAAATGGGAACCATGTTGACCGACAACAGGAAAGATCATGTGTCTGCTCTGCGTCAAGAAGGTTGTGCCATTGCGCCATGCATGCTCCCTGTCGTTCAATCTGGTTGTCAAGCGGTTCCTAAAATCCACCATCCCACTGCAAGACATCCTTAAAATGTCACGTAAACTGTGTACCTGCATTTCACCATTCCTACACCGCAAACACCCTCCATTGAGCTGCAGCGGCAGAACGGAATTCCACAGCATCGCCTGATCTGCACTTGCAACAAGGGAATTCAACCCTACACATGTTAGACCGCCTTTACGAGCAGCGAAAGGCCATCACCGATTTCCTGATGTTACAAGCGGATAAAGTACTCCCCCTGTGTAACTTAGATGTCAGCCATTGGCAGCTCATGCGTGACACCTGCCGCTTGCTCAGGCCCTTTGAGGAGGCCACGCTATTCGTGAGTCGGCAGGACTATGGGATGAACGACGTCATTCCTCTGTTGCACTCCTGAACAAATGCTGTTAACAATGGCTGGTCAGGTGCGGTAGACGTGGCGCACAGATCTCAACGCCACATGACCCCTGTGGGGGCAGGACAGGAAGAAGAGGAGGAGGTAGAGGAGGACATTTGTGCTCAGGAATTATTGAGTGAAATGGGTGGTTTTTTCCACTCACGGACAGGAGTGGAGGAGCAGAGCATCTGGTAGAGGAGATAGGGAGAGGAGACAGAGGACCCAGACGCACCGTGGCAGTATGCTGTGGAGATGGAGGCAGGGAGTCCCTCGCATTCCTTGGCACAAATGGCCCATAGCATGCTCAGTTGCTTGCGTAGCGACAGCCGAATAATAACCATCAGACAGAGGGATGACTTTTGGCTGTCCACCTTGTTGACCCTCGCTACCGTCCAAAATGTGGCCTTTTCACACCTGCTGAGAGGAGGCCAAAATTACGTACTATATAAAACCACCTATGTATCAGTTGGTTCTCTGCCTTTGTGCGCCAACGTCCATCCTCAGACACTGTGGGCCCTGTGCGCTCGCGTTCCGCTGGCATGGCAGCAGGGGAGGGGTGGGGTGGTAGGGAGCATGCAGCTCCACCAGCAGCGGCTGCCTCAGTCTGCAGTCGATGATGAGTAGCTTTCTTCACCAGCGCAGTGAGGAAACTACTAACCAGCCGCAGCAGCAGCAGCAGCATCAGGTGGACCTGGAGCAGGAGCTCAAACAACAGCTTGGGCCTACTTGGACAGCACCCTGCCAACCGAGGTAGACAATCCCCTTGACTACTGGGCAACGAAACTTGACCTTTGGCCCCAACTAGCTGAATTTGCCCTTGAAAGGCTGTCATGCCCGGCCAGTAGCGTGGCATCGAGCGCGTGTTTAGTGCGGCAGGAGTATTGTAACTCCGCGGAGGACACGACTGTCCACCCAAAGTGTGGAGAGACTCACGTTTTGTGAAAATGAATCAGGCGTGGATTAGTCTGGATTTCAAACCACCAGTTCCTGACACAACTGACTAAATCCGCCATGAATCATGCCTCAAACATGTGCCACTTTCAGGTCCTCCTCACACTGCTGGTGTTGTTGAATTTTTTGACATAGGTGCTGGCAGATTACGGGCCTCCCATAGCTGCTGCCCAGGCCCCTAATCTGCCATGGGCCCCCTATATACCGCCTCCTCATGCTGCTGCCAGTCCAGAGTCTCTCATGTGGGTCCCTGTACGGCCTCCCATTGCTGCTGTCTCCATCGCCACACACTCTGCCATGTGCCACTTTCAGGTCTCCTCACACTGCTGGTGTGTGTTGAATTTTTTGACATAGGGTGCTGGCAGATTACGGGCCTCCCATAGCTGCTGCCAGGCCCCTAATCTGCCATGGGCCCCTATATACCCCGCCTCCTCATGCTGCTGCTGCAGGTCCAGAGTCTCTCATGGGTCCCTGTACGGCCTCCCATTGCTGCTGTCTCCATCGCCACACTCTGCCATGTGCCACATTCAGTCTCCTCACACACTGCTGGTGTGTTGATTTTTTTGACATAGGGTGCGGGCAGATTACGGGCCTCCTATAGCTGCTGCCAGCCCCTAATCTGCCATGGGCCCCTATATACCGCCTCCTCATGCTGCTGCCAGGTCCCAGTCCAGCAGTCTCTCATGGCGTCCCTGTACGGCCTCCCATTGCTGCTGTCTCCATCGCCACACTCTGCCATGTGCCACTTTCAGTCTCCACACACTGCTGGTGTGTTGAATTTTTTGACATAGGGGTGCTGGCAGATTACGGGCCTCCCATAGCTGCTGCCAGCCCCTAATCTGCCATGGGCCCCTATATACCGCCTCCTCATGCTGCTGCCAAGTCCAGAGTCTGTCATGGTCCCTGTACGGCCTCCCATTGCTGCTGTCTCCATCGCCACACTCTGCCATGTGCCACTTTCAGGTCTCCTCACACTGCTGGTGTGTTGAATTTTTTGACATAGGGTGCTGGCAGATTACGGCCTCCTATAGCTGCTGCCAGGCCCCTAATCTGCCATGGCCCCCGATATACCGCCTCCTCAATGCTGCTGCCAAGTCCAGAGTCTCTCATGGGTCCCTGTACGGCCTCCCATTGCTGCGGTCTCCATCGCCACACTGCTGCCTTGTGCCACTTTCAGGTCTCTTCACACTGCTGGTGTGTTGAATTTTTGACATAGGGTGCTGGCAGATTACGGGCCTTCCATAGCTGCTGCCAGGCCCTAATCTGCCATGGGCCCCTATATACCGCCTCCTCATGCTGCTGCCAAGTCCAGAGTCTCTCATGGTCCCTGTACGGCCTCCCATTGCTGCTGTCTCCATCGCCACTACTCTGCCATGTGCCACTTTCAGGTCTCCTTCACACTGCTGTGTGTTGAATTTTTTGACATAGGGTGCTGGCAGATTACGACGGGCCTCCTATAGCTGCTGCCAGGCCCCCTAATCTGCCATGGGCCCCTATATACCGATCCTCATGCTGCTGCCTAAGGTCCAGAGTCTCTCATGGGTCCCTGTACGGCCTCCCATTGCTGCTGTCTCCATCGCCACACTCTGCCATGTGCCACTTTCAGGTCTCCTCACACACTGCTGTGTGTGGATTTTTTGACATAGGGTGCTGGCAGATTACGGGCCTCCATATAGCTGCTGCCAGGCCCCTAATCTGCCATGGGCCCCTATATACCGCCTCCTCTGCTGCTGCCAGGTCCAGTCTCTCATGGGTCCCTGTAACGGCCTCCCATTGCTGCTGTCTCCATCGCCACACTCTGCCATGGTGCCACATTCAGGTCTCTTCACACTGCTGGTGTGATTTGAATTTTTTTTGACATAGGGTAGGGGGCTGGCAGATTACGGGCCTCCTATAGCTGCTGCCAGGCCCCTAATCTGCCATAGGCCCCTATATACGCCGCCTCCTCATGCTGCTGCCAGGTCCACGAGTCTCTCATGGGTCCCTGTACGGCCTCCCATTGCGCTGTCTCCATCCATCCCACACTCTGCCATGTGCCACTTTCAGTCTCCTCACACACTGCTGTTGTGTTGAATTTTTGACATAGGGTGCTGGCAGATTACGGGCCTCCCATAGCTGCTGGCCAGGCCCCATAAATCTGCCATGGGCCCCTATATACCAGCCTCCTCATGCTGCTGCCAAGTCCAGAGTCTCTCATGGGTCCCTGTACGGCCTCCCATTGCCTGCTGTCTCCATCGCCACACTCTGCCATGTGCCACATTCAGGTCTCTTCACACTGCTGGTGTGTTGAATTTTTTGACATAGGGTGCTGGCAGATTACGGGCCTCCCATTGCTGCTGCCAGGCCCGTAATCTGCCATGGGCCCCTGTACCGCCTCCTCTCTTGACATGCTGCTGCCAGGTCCAGAGTCTCTCATGGGTCCCTGTACGGCCTCTACCATTGCTGCTGCCAGGAGGCAGCAGGGTCGCAGCAGTGTCAGTGGAGCCAAACGCCACGGAGTAGAGCACCAGCTCCACTGCAGCCTACCACCACGGCCATCTTTGGTGGCCGGTGTGCACGGAGGAAGTTGCAGTCAGCCAGTGAGGAGTAGCAGGCAAAGTTTCCTACTTTGCGGTGTGGCAATTTTTCGTCAAGCCGCCGAGGCCCAGTAAACGTACTCCTGCGATTATGTCGACTATGTGGGCAGAAAGTCAAGCGTGGCCAGGGGGCCCATGTTGGGACTACAGCGTTGCGTCAGCCATATGCTCGTCGCCATTCGGTGGCCTGGGAAAAACCCTTTGATAAAGATACGGCAACTTTTTCTGCCTGCCCCCCCAGGGTTTTCCATTTTGTCATAGGTTGCTGGCAGATTAGCGGCCTTCCCATAGTGCCCGCCAGGCCCCATATCGGCCATAGGGCCCCCGTACCGCCTGGTCACGCTGCTGCTGAGCCCACAGTGTGACCTGGGTCCCTGTACGGCCTCCCATTGCTTCCATTCTGCCATGTGCCACTTTGAAATCTCCTCACACTCCTGCGGTTTGTCCATTTTGTCATAGGTTGCTGGCAGATTACAGGCCTTCCATTGGTGCCGCCAGGCCCCATATCGACCATGGGCCCCCGTACCGCCTGGTCACGCTGCTGCTGGTCCCACAGTGTGACCTGGGTCCCTGTACGCCTCCCATTGCTTCCACTCTGCCATGTGCCACTTTGAAATCTCCTCACACTCCTGCGGTTTGTCCATTTTGTCATAGGTTGCTGGCAGATTACAGGCCTTTCCATTGGTGCCCGCCAGGCCCCAAATCGGCCATGGGCCCCCGTACCGCCTGGTCACGCTGCTAGTGCTGAGCCCACAGTGTGACCTGGGTCCCTGTACGGCCTCCCATTGCTTCCACTACTGGCCATGTGCCACTTTGAGTCTCCTCACACTCCCTGCAGTTTTCCATTTTGTCATAGGTTGTCTGGCAGATTAGCGGCCTTCCATAGGTGCCTCCAGCCAGGCCCCCCATATCGGCCATGGGCCCCCGTACCGCCTGGTCACATGCTGCTGCTGAGAGCCCACAGTGTGACCTGGGTCCCTGTATGGCCTCCCATTTGCTTCCACTCTGCCATGTGCCACTTTGAAATCTCCTCACACTCCTGCGGTTGTCCATTTTGTCATAGTTTGCTGGCAGATTACAGGTCTTCCATAGGTGCCGCCAGGCCCCAAATCGGCCATGGGGCCCCCGTACCGCCTGGTCACCTGCTGCTGCTGGCCCACAGTGTGACCTGGTCCCTGTACGGCCCTCCCATTGCTGCTGCCAGGAGGCAGCAGGGTCGCAGCTGTGTCAGTGGAGGCAAACGGCCACGGAGTAGAGCAGTAGCTCCACTGCAGCCTACCACCACAGCCAGTAGTGGTGCCGGTGTGCACGGAGGAAGTAGCAGTCAGCCAGTGAGGAGTAGCGGGTGCAAAGTTTCCTACTCGGCGGTGTGGCAAGTTTTCGTCAAGCCGCCCGAGGAAGTAAACGTAGCCTAATGTCGACTATGTGGCCAGAAAGTCAAGCGTGGCCAGGGGGCCCATGTTGGGACTACAGCGTTGCGTCAGCATATGCAGCGTCGCCATTCGGTGCCTGGGAAAAACGTGATAAAGATACGGCGGTTCTGCCTGCCCCAGCCCAGGGTTCCATTTTGTCATAGGGTGCTGGCAAATTACGGCCTCCCATAGGTGCCGCCAGGCCCCATATCGGCCATGGGCCCCCGTACCGCCTGGTCACGCTGCTGCTGAGCCCACAGTGTGACCTGGGTCCCTGTACGGCCTCCCATTGCTTCCACTCTGCCATGTGCCACTTTGAAATCTCCTCACACTCCTGCGTTGTCCATTTTGTCATAGGTTGCTGGCAGATTACAGGCCTTCCATTGGTGCCGCCAGGCCCCATAATCGGCCATGGGCCCCCGTACCGCCTGGTCACGCTGCTGCTGGTCCCACAGTGTGACCTGGGTCCCTGTACGGCCTCCCATTGCTTCCACTCTGCCATGTGCCACTTTGAGGTCTCCTCACACACTCCTGCGGTTGTCCATTTTGTCATAGGTTGCTGGCAGAATTAGCGGCCTTCCATAGGTTCCCCAGGCCCCATTATCGGCCATGGGCCCCCGTACCGTCCTGGTCACGCTGCTGCTGGGCCCACAGTGTGACCTGGGTCCCTGTACGGCCTCCCATTGCTTCCACTCTGCCATGTGCCACTTTTGAGGTCTCCTCACACTGCTGGTGTGTTCATTTTTTTGACATAGGGTGCTGGCAGATTACGGGCCTCCCATTGCTGCTGCCAGGCACCGTAATCTGCCATGGGCCCCCGTACCGCGACTCTCCTCATGCTGTGACGTTGCAAACAAGGTGTAATTCAACCCTACATATGTTAGTAGACCGCCTTTACGAACAGCTAAAGGCCATCACAGATTTCCTGATGTTAAAAGCGGATAAAGGTACTCCCTGTGTAACTTAGATGTCAGCCATTGTCAGCTCATGCGTGACACCTGCGCTTGCTCAGGCCCTTTGAGGAGGCCACGCTATTCGTGAGTCGGCAGGACTATGGGATGAACGAGGTCAAATCGGCCATGGGCCCCCCCGACCGCCTGTTCACGCTGATGCTGGTCCCACAGTGTGACCTGGGTCCCTGTACCGCCTCCCATTGCTGCCCCACTCTGCCATGTGCCACTTTGAGGTCTCCTCACACTCCTGCGGTTTTCCATTTTGTCATAGGTTGCTGGCAGATTACGGGCCTTCCATAGGTGCCACCAGGCCCCAAATCGTCCATGGGCCCCCGTACCAATACCGCCTGGTCACGCTGCTGCTGGTCCCACAGTGTGACCTGGGTCCCTGTACGGCCATCCCATTGCTTCCACTCTGCCATGTGCCACTTTGAGGTCTCCTCACACTCCTGCGGTTTTCCATTTTGTCATAGGTTGCTGGCAGATTAGCGGCCTTCCATAGGTGCCGCCAGGCCCCATATCGGCCATGGGCCCCCGTACCCGCCTGGTCACGCTGCTGGTCCCACAGTGTGACCTGGGTCCCTGTACGGCCTCCCATTGCTTCCACTCTGCCATGTGCCACTTTGAGGTCTCCTCACACTCCTGCGGTTTTCCATTTTGTCATAGGTTGCTGGCAGATTAGCGGCCCTTCCATAGGTGCCGCCAGGCCCCATATCGGCCATGGGCCCCCGTACCGCCTGGTCACGCTGCTGCTGGTCCCACAGTGTGACCTGGGTTCCTGTACGGCCTCCCATTGCTTCCACTCTGCCATGTGCCACTTTGAGGTCTCCTCACACTCCTGCGGTTTTCCATTTTGTCATAGGTTGCTGGCAGATTACAGGCCTTCCATAGGTGCCACCAGGCCCCAAATCGGCCATGGGCCCCCGTACCGCCTGGTCACGCTGCTGCTAGGGCCCACAGTGTGACCTGGGTCCCTGTACCGCCTCCCATTGCTCCCACTCTGCCATGTGCCACTTTCAGGTCTCCTCACACTCCTGCTGGTTTCCATTTTGTCATAGGTTGCTGTATGGCCTCCCATTGCTGCTGGCTCCACCGCCACACTGTGGCTCCACACTCTGGTTTTGGCCCCGTGACTGCCCAAATGAGTGAAGTGTGCGGTGATTCTAAGATCGACGGCACTCATCTGCATGTCATACTGACTGACAGTATTATTTCTCTTCCCCCAGCAGACTCCAAGGGCATTTAAATTAAAGGTACAGTGTTCTGCACTAATATTAAGTCTCTCTGAAGCCTAGAAACACCCTTTTTTAAGTTAAATTCACAGCGAATTTATTCGACTCGAATCGAATATTGTCCACGAATTCGCCGAATCAGTCGAATCGAATTTTTCATTTCTTCGCTCATCTCTAATAACAAGCATAGGAGAGCAAAACCTACACATAGAAACTACTGTAAATTGCCATAATTATATGGCACAGTTTCCACACCAGGGGTGTATGTCCGCATAGCAGTACTTCTGACAAGGAGAGGGGGGTACTTTTCTAAATGACATAACTATAGCTAAAACGTTTTTTTTTTTCTTTCATTGTGGACATAGTGAGGGAGGATTATAATCCGTCAGTTTTTTTTTTTTTTTTTTTGCCATCTGTGTCCCATTGGGAAGATTTACCTTCACTTCCTGTCTCATCGCCAACACAGGAAGTGAGAGATAATCCCTGTAAATTAACCTCCTTAGCGGTATTCCCGAGTGTAGCTCGGGGTAAAGTTTCAGTACCACAAGCGGTAACCCCGAGGTACACTCGGGCTTACCATGCGGCGCTGCTCCGGCATCTGTTCTTCACTTACCTTGTCCTGCGCTCCCGCGATGTCCCCTCTTGCAGTGTCCCCGGCAATGTAATCCGGCGGATGCCGGCATCTGTCATCTGGGTTTTCCGTCCCCTGCGAGCGTCGGGACGTACGGGGATGGAACGGCGGGAATTTGAAAATGACAAAAAGTGACATTCACTAAATACACTAAAATCACATAGTATAACATTCCTGTATCAAACCATTTCACATACATTTTGTCCCGAGTGCTTTGTCCGGCGCCCTGCCTGCATTTTGACTGTTCTTTCTGCCTGGAAACTTAGAAAAGTCCATGGCGTCCAAAAGCGTCCCTTTAGGTCAAAAGCGGTTTTAGACCGGCTAGAGAACAGCGATAGTAAATCAGAACCACTTGCAGAATTGAGTGATAATGATTCGTGGGGGGAAATTCATCATCAGACACTGAAAACGATTTTGCGACTTTGCTCAGTGATGTGCGAACTTGGCGCTATATTTCACATTTCAGTGTTTTTGGTTTGATATTATGGAATTAAATTTATTATTTTTTATGATTATTTATTATATTATAATTTATGATTTTGTGTTTCAGATTTTATCATATCCGGGATGTTTACTAGACTCTTGTTCGGACAGATTTCAGTGAGTTATTCCTAAAAATTACAGCCTACAATAAAAAAAATACATATTTCCATGCAAAAAAATGTACTGCTTTGAGTCCAGAAATATGGACATAATCAGACCGCTAGGGAGGTTAAGGAGATTCCTTGGGGACCCTCTGGTCACCAGAACTAGTGTCTCCCATGCAAAAATGTCCCCTCTATTACTTTTTGGGACAACCCAAAATTTAGGGTTTCTTTTACTTTCAATAATGGTAAACAGAACAAATCGAGAGGGTGAGTCTCCATAACGGGGGGCACAGACAGCAATAACAACCTGACATGGGTTCTAATCCATTTTCCACTCTTTCCAAGTCTACAAAAAAAAATTTGCCTTTAGTTATACTTTAAAGTAAACATATCAATAAAAGAGATATGGGGGGGTGCCATTACTGACTGTTTAAATACTGGTTTCCTAGCTGTTATGCTGACCTTCGAGTTTGAAAAATTCCCGTCACTGACCTTTAACGAGTGTACAGAGAAGGAAAGTCAGACTGAATAGTGATCTAGAACAAGTATGCAGATTCTAGCATTAAAGTATTTGTGGAAGAGGCTCAGCATGACAGTATGAAATACGCAGCATGGTGTACACTATTTTGCCAAAAGTATTGGGGCGCCTGCCTTTACACACACTTGAACTTTAATGGCATCCCAGTCTTAGTCTGTAGAGTTCAATATTGAGTTGGCCCCGCCCTTTGCAGCCATAACAGCTTCAACTCTTCTGGGAAGGCCGTCCACAAAGTTTAGGAGGGTGTCTATGGGAAGGCTGGACCATTCTTCCAGAAGCGCATTTGTGAGGTCAGGCACTGATGTCGGACGAGAAGTCCTGGCTCACAGTCTCCGCTCTAATTCATCCCAAAGGTGTGTTCTATTGGGTTGAGGCCAGGACTCTGTGCAGGCCAGTCAAGTTCCTCCACCCCAAACTCACTCATCCATGTCTTTATGGACCTTGCTTTGTGCACTGGTGCGTAGTCATGTTGGAACAGGAAGGGGCCACCCCCAAACTGTTCCTACAAAGTTGGATGCATGAAATTGTCCAAAATATCTTGGTATGCTGACGCCTTAAGAGTTCCCTTCACTGTAACTAAGGGGCCAAGCCCAACCCCTTAAAGACAACCCCACACCATAATCCCCCCTCCACCAAACTTTACACTTGACACAATGCAGTCAGGAAAGTACCATTCTCCTTTCACAAGGAGTGGACTGAGGCTGGAGTCAGTGCATCAAGAGCCAGTGCAGCAAGAGCCAGCACACACAGACGGATCCTGGACATTGGCTTCAAATGTCGTATTCCTCTTGTCAAGCCGCTCCTGAACAACAAACAACGTCAGAAGCGTCTTACCTGGGCTAAAGAAAAACAGACCTGGTCTGTTGCTCAGTGGTCCAAAGTCCTCTTTTCTGATGAGAGCAACTTTTGCATCTCATTTGGAAGCCAAGGACCCCGAGTATGGAGGAAGAATGGAGAGGCACAAGGACCCAGAGTATGGAGGAAGAATGGAGAGGCACACACTGCAAGATGCTGAAGTCCAGTGTGAAGTTTCCACAGTCTGTGTTGATTTGGGGAGCCATGTCATCTGCTGGTGTTGGTCCACTGTGCTTCATTAAGTCCAGGGTCAATGCAGCCGTCTACCAGGAGATTTTGGAGCACTTCATGCTTCCTTCCGCAGACGAGCTTTATGGGGATGCTGACTTCATTTTCCAGCAGGACTTGGCACCTGTCCACACTGCCAAAAGCACCAAAACCTGGTTCAATGACCGTGGGATTATTGTGCTTGATTGGCCAGAAAAAAACTCGCCTGACCTGAACCCCATAGAGAATCTATGGGGCATTGCTAAGAGAAAGATGAGAGACATGAGACCGAACAATGCAGAAGAGCTGAAGGCCGCTATTGAAGCATCCCGGTCTTCCATAACACCTCAGCAGTGCCACAGGCTGATAGCTTCCATGCTACGCCGCATTGAGGCAGTAATTGCTGCAAAAGGGGCCCAAACCAAGTACTGAGCACATATGCAGCTTCTACTTTTCAGAGGTCCGATATTGTTCTATGTACAAATCCTTGTTTTATTGATTGCATGGAATATTCTCATTTTCTGAGATTGTGGATTTGGGGGGGTTTTCATGAGCTGTAAGCCATAATCATCACAATGATGACAAATCACGGCTTGAACTATCTTGCTTTGCATGTAATGAGTCTATCTCATATATTAGTTTTCACCTTTTAAGTTGCTGCACTGAAAAAATTAACTTTTCAACGATATTCTAATTTTTTCGATCTTCACCTGTATATTTGGGAAGACCAAGCAACAGCTCTGAATAGGTATTGGAGATCACATCTGTAGTATCAAAAACATTAAAAAGAGTAAAAAAAGATGAAGATAGCCCGATAGTGATGCATTTTGCTGAATTTCATAATGGAAATCCAGATGGCCTGAAGGTAAAGGGAATCTTTCTACTTCATCTTTCAAAAAGACGTGGGAACACTGTCCTTTTGCAGAAAGAAAAAAATGCACATATGTATCGAGTATGAGTTTCGGTGACCACACCCACCAGTTTTCACTTATATTTGTTATGGGTGAGTCAGCAATCATATGGTAGCCGATATTAATATTGGGTGATTTTGAATTTATTCCCTCCTATATCGTCTGTTCAGGCCCTTGGTTAACCTGGTTTACAGACCAGGTCACCAGATGAAAACAGAATGAAGAAAACCAAAAAAAGAAGTCTAATGCAACCACGTTTAGGAATTGGTAAGCTGCAATAGAATTTTTTATTTTTATGTTTAATACAACTTCAAATGGATTTGGATGCTCTGGATAGATCACTATCTCCCATCTAATTTTGATTGCACACTGTTGGAACTTTGACAAAGTTGTCATTAATCCCAACATTAAGGCTCTGAGGACCTAACCCGACCCCAACCCCCCACCCTACATGTCTCCAACACTACTTTCTAGAACCCTCTAGATCTCCCAGCTCTCTCCTATCCCTTTACTCTGACTTTCCACTTTTGCCTACCAGTGGTGTCTCACTCACAATCTTTCCTTTCCTCCTACTTTTGTTTCATTTGGAAACCTCTGAACTTTCATATATTGATCATGTGTCTTCCAGGTTTCAAATATCAGTTCAGCAGAAGCTGTCTTGTTCCGTTACGTGTCTTTGAGGAACAGAGAGGTAATATGCCTGTAATTGGAACAAGGCAGCTTCTGATGAACTGTTATTTGAAACCTCTGACACCGCGTGCATCTCCCAGAAGTCACTAGCTGCTCCAAGTACATCACACTTCCATCCTTAGAAAAAGAGGGGAGCGGCTCACCATAATAAATACCAAAGTGCAAGTTCAATCAGTAATCTGATGCATAACTATGCCACCTGGTACAATGAACGTACACCATGGCTTTTGTTATAGTATGCAGCTTCCTTTTTTTTCTAATGATCTGAGTGCGATATACTTGATCACTGATAATGGTTTTACTTTTGAGGAGTGGGATTTTGTAACCATTTTGAAATGGTTCCCAAAACATTGGAATAGTGGATCGTGGTCTTGTACTGCTCTGTCTCTTTAACCACTTCCTGTCCGGACACTTTCAAACCCCCTGCCTGACCAAGGCAATTTTCAGCTTTCAGCGCTATCACACTTTGAATGACAATTGCGCGGTCATGCAACACTGTACCCAAATGAATTTTTTACCATTTTTTTTAGACAGATAAAGCTTTATTTTGGTGGTATTTATTCACCACTGGGATTTGAATTTTTTTTGCTATGTAAATAAAATTTTCAAAAATTTTGAAAAAAAGT